ACGTCCCCAAAACCTGCTGACAACCTCCAAACCCATGAACACCCCCGAGCCCAGGGACACACCTTAAACCTGCCAACAATCCTGCAAGCACAGAAAGAACCCCCAGATGCATCCCTGAAGCAGGCACTTCCCCAGGCCAGGAAGCACCCCCAGAGCCGGCAGCAGTGCCCAGCAGGTTGGGGCTGTGCCGTGTCCTCCTGCAGGCTCCCCAGACCGGCCAGGACAGGGAAGGAAGGCACTGTCACCCCCGGAGGAGAAGGGAACCCCCCAGTCCCGTGCCCCTAACACTGCCCCGGAGAAAGGCAGAGAATGAGTGACAAATGAGAGTGGGATCTCCCAGTGCAGATACATAGACAACTTTAGTGTGCTGGGTGAGAGGGGCCCGCGCTCGGGGCTGGCACACGGCTGCCCCCGGGCGCGATTTCAGGACGGCTGTAGGGTTTTCTGTCCCGCCGCTCCTGCCGCAGGAGGTGCCGGGTCCGGATCGGTCCCAAATGCGAGCGGCTCTCCCTCTTCACGGCCACGGTGGCACGGGATCCCCCCGAGGCAGGGGCCTGCTGCACCATCGCCACACGGAACAGCACGGGGGAAAGCGCGGAGAGCCCGGGCCAGCCCAGAGGGACAGAGGCACCCGGGCGAGGCCGCGGAGTCCCGGCAGCGCCCTCCTCCCTCAGCAGCCCCGGGCAAGCTCCTTCCTCGGCAGCCCCTGGTCACCTGTGCGGGTCACTCGCACACCCAGCATGCTGTAAAACTCTTAACAGTGGCGTTGGTGTGATGTCACAGCGGCTATCGTGACAGCAGCACCGGCCCTCTGTGCGCTGGCACGGGCGGGGAGCACAGGCCCAGGGCCAGCTAAGGGGGATGTGGAGAGCACCGAGAACGGGCAGCGGCGTGCCCCGAGCAGGGAAATGGGGACCTTGGAGAGTTTGGGGCTTGGTGACAGGCAAGGCTGGCATGGAGGCACGCAGCACGCCACGGACAGTGATGGTAAATGCTCTCCGTGCTTGGTGAGCTCCGGGAGCAGCAGCGCTGYTGTGAGGGGAGCGAGGATCGCGCTCCGGCGGGGCTGTGCCACGCCTCACCACAGGGCGGCAGCACCGCCTCACACACAGCGCAGGAGTACTGGGCCGCGGCACGCTCGGAGAAAAAAAGGCAGAATCCTTTAATTCTTACCTCTCTTCTTACACTTTCATGCACTGTACTGGGTAATGTGTACGTACATTAAAATAATGCTTAATACAATACTCTGTATTTTCAAGCCCAATGGAATTCTGGATATTCTAAGCCCCTGTATATAATAAAGTGTGGGGGGGTTCTTTTGAAATCAATCTCAATATAAATTATTTATATATAAAAACGGGAGTTTACASTTTTTGCATGTTTGTTTAGACCGTTGCATCCTATGAATTTTGGGACTACAACCTCCCTTGTTCTGCAGACTCCAGATGATCCCCCACCTTCTCTCACCTGTTCCTCCACCACATCATGCTCTCCCCCGATACTGGGATACCCTTAATGACATCACTGACGAAGGCTTCACAACTCTGGAAAATTATTTCACTGAATTCCTTAGTGCAGGAGAACGTTAAAAGTTCACCAGTGTTTCAAAATGCAATTGCACCAATTCAAGTCCAGAGAAAACTTCTTCCTCATGAAAACCCRTATCAAAAATTGCTTAAGGCCACAATAGACTGGTGCTTCCAGCTGCTAAGAATGTATGGCTGAGACCAGCTGTTGCTTCTACTTCAGCGAAGAGGCCTTGTTTTTTAAACAACAACTAGAAGTAGCTTACACCTCTTAAACAGTGCACTAGACTAATCGATCAGAAAAAAAAATAAAAAAAATCAACTTACAATGGATTTAGATATTAAGTCAAAGAACAAAACAAGCAAAGGAAAATGGGGGCCCCTTCYTCCCCTGGGGCTTCTTTTTTCAAGTAGATGATTTACTGGCAGGAGGATGCAGAGCAAGACCAAAATACAGGCAACATCAGCTCTTAAGTGCTCTTACAACAGGAACAGCTTTGCCAGTACCTGTTCTCAGGTGAAACCTATAATTAAGCACACTTGCAGTCAGGTTCCAAGGGTACTAATGCTTTTAATTACATGAACAAGCCACGATTACACCAACTATCAAATCAACAAATTGTATCAACTGTTTAATTAACAATTAGCAATAATACCATTCTTATCTGAGAAGCAAGGAATTTCTCCTCCTAATTAYTCATCACTGTCTGTATCACTTTCTTCTGAGGACTCAACCCAGTCCTCGGATCCTGCAGGAGGGCAAGTCAGTTTTGGAGGACCTGGAAGTATTTAAAACAGTGTAACATTTATAAACCCAAAACAACAAGCTTCACAACAAATACATGGTACTCCAAAATGACCCAGTCCAGCAAGCTCCAATACTCTTGACYACAAACTAGACCAAAACACTCCAAACCACTTCCGTCTGCCTTTAGTATGTGCAATCCTGACCCTGCTGCCTCTAGATTGCTCTGGAAGTCCTCTCACCTCTTTTCAGAGAATTTGAGTAATCTGCTGAAATAACTGTTTCACATGAAGCCAATGAAAAAGAGGAATGCTGATGATTTTGTGTTATAAAACCAGACTCATTCAGTCCTTACCAACTGTAAAAGGCCTTTCATCTTCAGACTCTTCCCAATGTTCAAAATCTAAGGACACGTGAACATTCTGTTGACAAAAACATTGTTTGAAGTACCTGCTCTGATGCACAGCTAATGTGCTCAGAACATTTAATAATTCTCAAATTAATTTTTACTTCACCTTGTTCTTCAGYAATTTGCACCACATTCCTTTTTTCTCTTTTACCAGTAAAACCACAGCCTCTGTATCCTTAGTCACACACTTGGATTTTTCTGCAATTATTGACTGATACAGGTCCAGGTTAGCCACATAAAATTTGCCTTCTGAGTAAGCACTGCAATATACAAAAAGTTAAAAAAATTAAATGCAAACTAAGTCAGACACTTAGCCGATTATACTGAAGTTTCTTAAACCTACCTGAAAGCCACCTTCTCTTTGGAGAACTTGCACTTACTGTCAGCTGCCCTCAGTATTTGCACCTTCAGTGTAACAGTCRCATTATCTTGAAACCACTTGATGTGTGGATGACAGCTGAAAGGAAGTTCATTTAATGGGTTATTTTCAAAAACAGAAACTACTGAGGTTTAACGAAGCTGTCTCACACACAGCCAAAACTTGCCCAGGAAGTCACACACGGCCAAGGAGTCTGAGCCATGCAGACCTGACACCAGCAGCAATGTCAGGGAAGCCGGTGATGGGACACCACTCAAGCCTCCTACAAAATCACCACATTCCCAAGTCTCTGGAGGAGCACGTTTACGAGGTCTGCGCTCCGCTGACTTTGATATCCACAGGAATCACACTCACTGCCTCATTTCAGGATGCCACCGCAGTCTGACCTTACTATGCCAAAGAAAAAGCTAACAAGAGCAAAACCAACCTCTGATAGACCAAAGGAACTTTTCAGCTGAACACAGATACAACCCCGTCTGGCAGCTCCCATAAAAGCAAGATGGGAACAAATCACGCTCTACATTCTCACCTTTTCTGCTGATGCACAGTATAGTCTTCTGCTTCTTCTGTTTGAGCTCCATCATCTAAAAAGAYGACATCCAGAAACATCTTTTATACTTCCCTAAGCCACAGAAACCAGGTATTTCCAGAATCCCTCTATAACATCATAAAGTAACTTGCTAGCCATCAAATTACTGTCTTTGTCCTTTACACTGTGTACTTCCTATCCTGAAAGATTTCACCAAGTTAGTAGTTAGACTAAAAATTTCAATTATCAAGAATACTGTAGTTGGTGCAAGGAGATTTAAAAAACCTAACCAGACATGCAGTTTTCCAGATCAAGTAAAGGTTTTTTCCCAGTTTCAAGTTGTTATTTATTTGAAACCTGAAACATACCATTTTGGCAATTAGTGGGGAGTTTCAGGGATGAAATGGATATGAGCTGGTGTCAACACAGCTTGAAACATGGCATTAGTATGGCTCTACTGTCAGGAGAAAAAGTCTTCTACAATAAGCACTCCAGCCTTTTTATCTGCTTCAAGTTCTTCATCACTCACCTTTCACTGGCTCCAAAGTCACATATCAGCTGTTAGCAGGTAATCCTCTCTCCCCCTGCTATGCCTAAGTGTTTCTAAGCTTCTGCTGACTGGGTAACACACCCTTAAGATTACATTAAAAAGAATTTGGGGGGAGAGTGCCACTTTCTGACATCCTGAATCTTGGGAGAAAAACTGACCTCCCACAGACTGAGGCTGTTCAACAGAGCTTCTTAAACTTCTTAAACCCTGCGACCTTGGACAGCAAAGCTGTTGTCCTCTCTACAGAAGAGATTTCTTGCTCACATATTCCACTGAGAGCCAAAAAATCCCAAGTGTCTCAAGGACAGCGCATTCCCCAAAGAGATGCACAGTTCTAGCTGCCAGAGTCACTCACAGCATCTCCCGACTGCTCACTGAAAGGCAGCTGTGGCTCACTGCAAACATCAGCCACAGGGTGCTGCTGTGTGCACCCTGAGCAACCTGCAGCTGGCAGGATGACTGTTCAGCTGACAGCTAGTACAGAACTTGAATTCAAGATTGAGAACTTCTGGAAATGACAGGAAGGTTTACCACTTGGAGGACTTGCAGAAGTGTTACAGCTTTCAGCAGAATTTTCCTGCATCGGTGTATCCTGTGGATCAGATGCCTCCTCTAGAACAGCTGTGTCCTCTTTTGTGCTTCTGAACACAGGACAAAGCAGTTTTGAAAGAAAACCCACAAATTACATTCAGTCAACTTCACCTTATTTTGCCGCCCACCTCTTTAACCTGTACCTTACTAACAAAGCCTGTGCTGAAGTTCTGCATTCTTCAACAGTAGTCTCAGGCTTAGTGGATCTGTAAAAAAATGATCCAAGCAATTGCATTACAYATATTTCAGCACACAGCACTACAATAAAGTTGTCTGGTCCCTGGCACTGTATGTTTTGGCGATGACCTAGAGGTTCCCAGCCTTCCTTTCCCAAAAGAAAGAAATAAATGCAAACAGGTTGTGCCTAAGATACCAGAAACCTCCTAGCCTGAGTCCTTTGTAGAGAATAAAACCTGAAAAACAGGCTTCCAAGCAAAAAATTCTCMTACACCAAATCTGAATAAATATGGGAAAAGTAAAATCCTTTGGCTAAGATTGAACTCTTAAGATTGAACTCCTAACCTAGTTCTAGGTAGGAATGCAGGATCCTGAACCTAGCACAGAAATGCAGAATGGAGAGGGTGAGGCTTCCTTCTCTTGCTGACTGGCAAAGTCACAGAAACAACCACAAGATTAAGTGGCTAAAGAAACTCCTGCATTGGGGGCCATGACAAGAAAGTTACAGATGTCTTGCTGATCAGCATTTTATATCAAGGGTCTCAAGATCTGCCCTCCCACCSCACACAGTATTTACTCAGTTCTAAAAATTTACAGGGCAAGGAAAACAAAGTTCARTGCTGCTTCTGTAAAATCCCTCATGCAGCCAATACTCATTAAATGAGTGGTAATTTCCCCAACTATTGTAAAGGAAACTGGTTACATTTTCCAGCTGAATTCTTCCAGTTGAACACACAATATGCTGTAGGGCTCTGACTGATACTAGGTACTGACTGRTAAACACTCAAACCAGCTACAGACTGCTGTAAATTTTCACAGAGTCTGAATTCAGACTCTACATTTTTATTATTAATTTATCTATCTGCATGAATTCTAGTTTAACATTTTCTAGCATTAGAATTTTCCTTGTGGTTATGGGGCTAAAGAACAGTTAATGGGAAGCAAGACACATTACAAACACAACTTGAAGCACTAAAATAAAAAATTACTGTCAGTATTATAAATTATAATTGATATATATATATATATATATATATATATCATATTCAGTAAAGCAGAATTTTTCTCTTAGTGAAGTATATGCTGAAAAGTAGAATTTTAAACACTTACAAACGCTCCATGTTCTCTGCATGATCCAAAATGGGCATTTGTCTGCACAGCTTCTGGATTTCTGCTACATGTTCTGGATTGTCAGTTCCCAACCCCGTTGATAAAATCTCAGACCGAATATTGTACTCATTGATCCACAACTTCATACCAGGAAGGCTGGTAACCCCAACCTTGAATTACACAAGATAGTAAAGRGAAAGCACAGCTCATCAATGGTCTCTCTCCAACCTGCTCTAATGCAAACTTCAAACACTGCCCTACTGACTTATGCCTGTAGGCAATTTGRTTTTTCTGATTCTCAAACAGGAACCCCCGCAAGTTGGTTTTCCATGTATCACCATCATTCTCATTGTAGTAATAGCTCAAGTAACTGGCTGTTTGTCCTGTCTTGCAGAACCAGGAAGGCAATCAAGTAACCAGTGCCAGCCCTGATCACAGAAGTGACAGATGTAATACATCTCAGGCAGTTCAGGACTGTGAATCCTGAATAACCCAAGGACTGCTGATGGATGGGGGGCACACAAAAAACCCCAAAGCCTAGAAACTGGCAAAAGGTTGAAATACACCATGTGGAAATASAAATTACTGAAGAAAATGACTTCCAGATAATTTTCTCTTTCCACTCAATTTTCCACTTGACTTGCTCTGCAAGATCCAAAACTGCTGAATGTTAATGTATGTGAAACTAGAACACAAAAACTCTATGAACAAGAGCACCCATTTTTCCTATTCTGACCAAGAAAATAAAGGAGAAAAGCTCCAGTATTTTTTAATTTGCAGAAAACTTTACACTAAAACCAACTTCAAACTAGTATAAGAGCTGCAAGAGACAACATACTTAGAATTATGAACAGAATAAATTAAGTCTACTTCAAGAGCTACTGAGAATCAGCAAACTTGTTTTGGAGGATCCAAATTTCCTTCTTCCAGAGGAATGTGTGTGTGACAAAACTACAGAACTGATTTTGCAAAAACTACTGAAAAGTAGTACCTCGAAAATACACTTTTGTTACTAATTTTGTGGAATAGTCTTGGACCATATCCACATATACTAAGATTTCACAGTGCTGCCATTCTATACCTACCATTGGGTCAACCCAAACTGTCTTTCCCAAGGTATGGACCACTTTTGCATGATGTAATTTTCCTTTAATTTTGTGATCAATGTGATCAGTCACCTAGGAAAAACAAATTGTCATTGCACTTGAGATGTATGGATACCAACACAACTTTACAGTCACTTTTAAGTAAAAATGATACAGTATCTTCTGAGTTTAACAATGAAAAGGATATTCAACAAATGAATAGTTCTGAGTAAACCAGTGTTTACTTAAGCCTAAGTCAGAACTTTTAAACCAGTGTTTTAACTTAAGCCTAAGTCAAAACAGCATTAACCTTCAAGGAAAGAGTTTCCTTAATGAGAGATCAAGCACAGGTCAATTTACAGAGGCTACACCTCCTCTGTTCCTCCCCCAGAATCCAAAGCAGTGATCAATCTATTCTAAAAGAAAATTATTTAAATCAGAGCAAAAAAAAAAATCCCACAAATCTCACTGTATTATTTCATAGGAAAACAAAACAAAAAAAAAAAAATCTCAGAATCTGGTCCAATAGCAGATATTTAGTGTCAGTATTAATAAGCAATGAAATTTGGTACCCAAGTTTACAGTTTGTAACTGTTTTCTTGTAGAAAATGACAGGGAGAGAAGGTAGAGAGCATAAAGGAAATAMCATGCAAAACCTGCTTATTACCTTTGGATTCCATTTGACTTCATTATCTATGGGTTTTACTCTACAAACTATGATTTCCACAGCCTGAGGTGGCAGACTCTGAAACCTTACAGGTAAGTGAAGCAGCTGATCACTATTAACTTGACTTGTTCTGCCTTCRTCTATGTATTTAACTGTGACCTTACAGATATTTTCTTCCTCTTTTGCTGGAGTCTCTACCACCTGAACCCTTCATATGRTAGGAAAAGAAAGAGAGAATTATTATTCATGTAACCAGTTGTGAAATGTTTTTTAAACCTGCTCTCATTTTAAAACTGGTATTTTCACAGCCCACTCTSTACACCTCATTTTAAAAAGCTTTTAAATTTTAAAAAAGCTTTGTATAAAACCACACACATGAGTAAAGTAAAAAGCCAACAAAATTTTACCTGTGGCAAATGGCTCCCTCCCATAACCCATAAAACACTGACTTCTCCACGGCGTTAACAGGAATCCTACGTCCTGGTATCTTGAAATAATCACTCATTTCTTTGGCAAGAGCTGTGTATTGGTCCTTTTGTTTCTTGACTATTCGACCAAAGTAGTTTGTTGCATGTACAATGAGGAGAGGCAGGATCTGAAAGGATCAAACACATCAGCAAGGAGGGATGAATGATTTCTTTCACCAACAAAACTGAAGTCTTTATATATAGAYCACATACCTCTTTCCAGCCCCMAAAAGTGACAGATGTTGCTGTACAMACACATTTCAGAAACAATCAGTTGCTGTTATTGTCAATCCTAAGTGCCCATAGCTCAGTCAGGAACAGACAACAGTGCATAAGCAAGAACTGTTGGGTGTCAGGGGATGGTATTCCACCTCAGGGAGCAGCACTGCATTCTGCCAGTTACCTGCCAGGTTACACACCACTAACGAATTCTGCACCACTCYAGCTCCACTCTAAACATTCTCCAGCCATACAGGGAGTTTTACAAGAACTCACTGCTCTTTTTGAACCAAAATGACCTAAATGAAAGATGATGAATACACAGCTGTCCATACCAATGCATAAAATGCTGCTGTGAGAGCTCCTCAGGTAAAACTCAAGTCTCAAGGGGAGCTGGAGACACAAACTCTTATTGGGATGTGAAAAAACAACCTAACAGCCATGAAGGTTTCACAAATGTGGAACTATCAAAACGAAAGTCCAAGTAATACAGCACTCTGTAGCAAGAGTCTTCCAAAGCACTGACATTTTTGTAGAAGTAACTCAACTGATTTATCTACAACAGAAGCTGTATCCTGTTTCTTGGGGATACCACAAATGAAAATACTTTTCCAATCCCAAGACCAGAAAATGCTCCATTTTCATCAGGTTTGCAGGAACATATCAGCTAAGAAAAATATCCCTCAACGTCTCTTCACTCCCACAGATAACTCTGTGTTTCCTCTACAAGAAATGTAACTGAAGATTCTATAAGCCTTCATTTTAGTATATGATCTCCATTTATAAAAGGAAGGAATAAACAGAACACAAGTCCTCTTCCCATGGAATGTAAATCTTCAAAGCAGAAAAAAATCTGAGGTAAACTCAAAATTACCTGCAAAACAGTTCCACTTCAAGCTAAGGACACAAGGAAAATCTGACACACTACTCTATGCAAGGTAAAGGGGAAAAAAGCTAGAAAAGAACAACCAACCATGGCAAATTATATGCATACTGCAGTAGGATTAATGGAATACAAAAAAAATGAAGTAACATGTTAACTAGCTGTTTAAGACACACCCAAGCCCAAGGAAAACTGTAACTCACTGTCACACGTTCAGGTGTTTCTATCATTTCATCTGCAATGTTCTGGGCCATGTCTATTGATGAATTAATTTGATGACGATCTGGACACCATGTTCTATTCCTACATGAAAAAAAAAGCACAACAGGTTTAGTAAAGAAGCTCTTTGCTTTCAGTTGTAAGMTATTTTTATGTGACTTGCAACAGGGAACAGAAAAATAAGGAAGAATCATGAGTGAAATCTGTTTTAGATAAAAGCAGCCAACAGGAAAATTCATYAAGGAATCAGCAGCAATCATCACTGAGGGCACAAAGCCCCTACATTTCTTTACCTGCAAATCCCAAATGTTTTAAGAGAAGTACACAGGGGCCTTGACAATTTCTCATCTTGTTCAGATTCCAGCATCTTGGCAGTCAAATCATAGAGTTCTTCTGGAATTTCAGCTTCTGCATGCTTTAGATAGCGGAGAACCCCAGGTGCATGACAGGAACTGCTCACTGTCAGCAAGATGATTGACTTGGCCTTTGTATGTTCCTGATCTACAGAAGAATCCTACAAGTAATAATGAATATTTTGGAAAACTTTWATGTATCCACCAGTAATAACACACTGTAGCATTACCCAGTCAGGGCTCACCCAAACCTTCATCACACTGCAGAAGCTGTCAGCTGTGCTTTGCAGGCGCTGCCCCAAGACTTCTGGAGATGGAAAACTGAAATGGATCACACAAGTTGCATCCGTGATTCCCAAAGACGGCAGGCAGTCATCTGTTAAAACTAAGCACATATTTCACACAGAAACGTGATTGGAATACTTCAGAAATGGGAAGTACCATATCACATGAACCATGGCTGATTTCCTTCTCCCCATCCACTGATGGGATCATGAAAGTGTTTTTTTTCCCCCAATACATTCCTATAAAGCTTTATACTTTCCCAGTCAATGAACCCCCTCAGCATATGACAGACACAGCATTTCATGCCAGTCTCACATAATTCTTTACTTCTACTGTCAGCACCACAGAATATAAAGAATTGAGCACGGGGTAAGACAGTAGACACTTGAAATACTGCAGGAATTCTCATAGCTCTGTGTGCACCTACAAAGCAATGGGAAGTCAATCTTCTTGCTTTTCTGTAAAAGAGAAAACTAATTCTGTTTGGAAATGGATAAAAGTCTTTGTTCCAGCAAGCAATCTGGACAGAAAAGCATCTAATGGAACTTCTTAATTTCCAAATTCCAAAGATCTATTGTAATAGTAAATCTGAAATAAAAATTATCTCCTCTGTAGCAATGACAATTGTGAAATAACAGTAAATATTTAAAAATATTGGTAGCTCTTTTAACTAAACAGGGAAAACAACAACAGAAGAAAAAAAAGTAACAGCTGTAGCACTAGGCAGTAAACAGAGAACTGGAAAAGAGTTCACAGGGATCTGCCCCTGTGGAAGCACTGAGATAACCCAGGTTCAGTGCTTGGTATGGATCTCAGCTCTGCATTAAGATACAATCCCAATCAGAGAGGGAGAATCCTCACCTAACACAGCAGGAGTGCCAGAATTGTGCATTCTTTTCCACTGATCCAAGACACACTTGGCATTACACTTGCTCTCCTTATGTTTTTTCAAGGAAACTACTGAGTTGCTTTTCAATACCTGCATGACAAAAGGAAAAGTTACACATCCCTGCAATGCTGCAATACCTGCTTAATCAACTCGAATGACTACAATTATTACAACCCAGTACACCTTAGCTACTGTAAAGGGAACACAAGGAAAGAGTTACTGAATTTCACGTTTTTCATATGAAAAAAGGTTTGTTTGTTTCCTGTGAAAAAACTAAAACTAGAAAGTTTGGGTTCCCATGGATTAATACATTAGACACATATTTAAGAAGGTAAAGATTTCATTTCAAGCTTTTCCAGTTTGATTCAACTCCAAGTTCCAATCTGATGACTGTTGGTAAGAATTCGGGAATTAATTAGCCTTCCTATTTCCTGATAGTCAGTTTGGGTTACTTTCAGCAGGAAAAATTAACTCCCAAATTCACATTCTTCCTTTAATCTCAGAAGCCAAGATATTTCAGTTTGTTATGACTTTAAAAAACACCTATGTAAGTTCAAATACTTTCTTACCTTATGAATCATATCTACTTCAGGTACTGAGTCAGCAAATACCAGCACCTTCTGAAGATTCCTCTGGGTAAAATCCAGTATTTTGAGTAACTCAGCAGTTTTATTACTGCAAGGCTGCACCACCTAAAAGCAAATGAAACATGGAGGGCTGGWAATTATGTAACCATAAATATTCTACCACATAATCCTTTGTACTCCTAACCCTAATGCATCCACACACTGACACTTCCAATTCAGCTCAATCATTAAGACTTCTCACARGAACTCGTGCGTCTTCAGCCTCCTGACATGCTCAGAATGCCTAGTCTTGGCAATTTCTCAAGATTTTAAACCCACTAACTTTCCATTTTGAGACACAGAAGAATTCAAACCACACTTAAAAACCCCCAATTTTTTAATATTCTGAAGGGCTACACCACACTGACTGGGAACTAAGTAAGAAGATACCTAAGAACATGTAATAATAGGCCTTCTAGAAATTTGAGGTCAGAAGTTTGGTATTGCGTGGCAGCAGCAAACCAAGTGCTTTGCTAGATCTGCCTTTGGACTGCTTACCTTGTAGCTCTGCCAGTCRGAGTTAACAACTGCAAAAACATTCTGCTAACACTTTGATCAAAAACTAGTTTACAAATACATCTCATCAAATTTAGACTCACTGGCACTAACCTTGAAATAYTCAAGGGAACTATCTTCACCTCAGTTCCATAAAGAAAGTCAAGTGATCTGTAGCTCAGTTCAGTAACTCAGCTCCACATGATTTCTAATACCTGCTTCAGCTCACACCGGAGGCAGCACTGCAGCACCAATTGATCCAATAAACCACCAGCAGCCACATATCCAAAGTTTTACCTGTTGCACGTTTCCAAAGATGGCAGCTTCTTCAACAACTGTTATCACAACATAAGGATCCCTCATGAACTCCTTCATCAAGGGTGTGATGTGTTTATTCCACTGAGTTCCCACAGCAATGATCTGATGTGGCTTTCCCTGTGGTTGAGCAGCAGCTTTCTTGTAACAGTCTAGTACAGTAAACACCTAGGAAGAAAAAAAGGTTTCTCTCCTCTTATCCTTTTCCAGAGAGTGGGTAATAGCATAGAAAAATACTGTGTGAGCACACTTGTTTTTCCAGTTGGAAAGCCACTACCACAGCCAAGTATGAGTTTCGCATCCCAAAGGGAAGGATCTGGTATAAAAATTTTTCCTTATCCTGTTCTCTGAATGACTTTTGAAAGAGAAAGCAACATGATAGCACAAAGTGACAGCATATGCATGTGCATGTAACTGTAATGCTCTGTCCAGAGCAGACAAATCTCAGGTAAATATAATCTGTAAAATCTGCACTATACTAAAGCCTGGACAAAGCAGATCTGAGAGGGCAGAGGCATTGAGCAAAAACTGGGAGATAACTACAACACAAGCCCAAACTGCCAAYACAGTAATTTTCAAATACAAAAAATAAAAAAAAATAAATAAATAAATAAAGAGGAGGATCACCCTAATCCCATTTCCAGTATTCTTTTYCTCAGTGTGTGCCACTATTTCAGACACATGCACAACTGGAACAGCATTYTGCCAACTGACTGTATAAGCTGTTTACCTGTTCAGTAGTGTCAGAGAACAGCACCTCGATCTCATCAAGAACAAGATGACAAAGCCTACACAATAACCAAGTGTGATGTTCCAGCARTCTCAGGAGGTTGTACGGTGTAGTCACCACTACTTCACCTACAAGGTGAAAAAAACCTGTTACTGTTAATTTACAACTTGGAAGAGTATTAATATGACACTAAAGGACACCAGGTAGCTCTATTAAAAGGGGTCACATTTGTAYTTCAGATGTATTGTCTTGAAGCTAAAGAGTGAGGTTGCATTTTTCTACTCCTGCATGTCTTCCAACACAAGTGAGGATCTGATATTCTGAAATCCAGTGAAATGTCTGAAGGTTTACAAGTTTATAAAGCAGGACATCATCTCATTTTCCAGTAAGGTASTGGAAGTAGAAGTAACAACTTCTAAGAAGTACCAAATAGCCAGAAGGGAAATATTTAAATACAAGCAAGAGCAACATTAGGATCAGTTTCAACAGTGGAATAAAGCACACGTGCTGGCTTAGCAATTTGCACACACGTGTGCATGCGTATCTAAACATACAAATAAAACCACACAAGTCTTCATTAGTGCAAATACACCAACAACTCTGCTACTAAAAGKTCTGAACTTATCCACCCGGCTCAAACTTGTGGAAGAACACAAACTGCTGAAATGCAAAGTTTTACACAATTCTTCAGTTTCATCGTAATTTTTGTTCCGTTGGCCAAGAAAAGCCACTTTTGAACATGCAGTTATTAACCAGGGCTTTTTTGTTACTTCTATGCTGTTTCCTCTGTGGAGCACCCTCTGCATACTACTGAGTTAGATGCTCAAAGTACTGAGCATTTACACCGAATTGTAAACCACCATTTAAACAAAAAAAACCCCCAACCAACCAAAAAACAAAACAAAAACAAAAATCCCCCCCAAAAGAAACGAACAAAAAAACCCACCAAACCAAAAAACAAAACAAAAACCAAACAAAAACAGTAAAACCACACCACTGTATAGAACTAAAAACTTAAAATCAAAAGCTGTTCTTTTACATGCTSCTGCAATCAGGGCAGCACACACCACCTTCAAGTATAACCAAGATGACAGAAAACATTCTTACAGCCTCGGATTTCCACTTGGCTGGCTGCTTCCTTGTTCTGCCCAAGGATTATCAGCATTGGATAAAGGTGTCTGCAGCATCTCCCATATCTTTTCAGTAGGTCAAAAACAAGTTGTGCCTTCTTCCATCCAGGACATAAAATGAGTGCCAGTGGCTACATACACAGGTACAAAAATTGACACCATAGTATTAGACAGAAGTACAGAACCTTAACAATCTTGTCTTGGGGTTGTACTGGGCTGTTTCTAGAGGTACCTTAAAACCTCCGTAATTCTGTTCCTGTGACCTAATCCAAGCTAGAAAATGGACTGTAGTATTTTAAACAGCTAATACCCATTTTAGTTTAATGAGCACATACTATTCATGCAGAAAAAAAGCTCCATCGTGTATCTTAAATGCCAGGGAATAAACCACTTGTWAGGGATTGCTTCAGAAGTAATTTTGGGACTGTCCCATCCAAGTCCTCTAAGAAGTCTTACAGAAACTGGCAGGCATTATGAAGATACACTGAGACAACACGAATGTACAGATTCCAAACATTCAGAGCACTAACAGGTTTCCTGGTCTGATATGTACATACTCCGTTTGTGTTTGGTAAGGCTTGGGAAGCACTCTTGAACTGCAAAAGGGTAAGAACTGGTGGAATATATAATAAGGGATCATTTCCCTGATGTGAGATGGCAACGATATCATATCCCGAAGTTACTGGTGGCCAGCAGTAGGACTCTGTGAAGGTGGGGCCTGAAAACTTGTTCCGAGCAAGTTCCTACAGAAAGAGAAATCAAGAGTTTCCCATCATATCTTTGTACTTAAACACCAACAAAGCAAGACAAAACATATCAACAAGTGATTTAAAAGCTTCTGACCCACTACATAACACATGTCCTTAAAAGATAATACGAAAAATCTTCTGAGCTATTAAAATACTGTATTAAAATTCAAATCCACTTGTAGCAGTGTTTAATATACCAGAAAAAATAAGTGTAAAATTATTACAGCATTTCTCCATAGCTTCATTTACTCAGTCACATGAACAACCTTGTACACATTCCTCAACCACACTGAGGTAGRTATTACTGTAATATTTAGTATGTAAATCTGAGGCATGAAATTTGTCTTAAAAAGATAATTAATGTAGTATCATGACATCAGCTTTACCTTTTTCACACCATCAAAAAGTGGTGCTGTCTCCAAAACAGACGATGGCTCAATTTTCTTGCTAAGGAACACAAAGTTTTTTTCTTYCCCAAGATTTTGAAAACTCTGAAACCATGAGACAAATACATGACAAAGGSAATATGTAACCAAAGGGGTGTAAGCTCACATACAACTAACAAGCACTTACTGCATTTAAAAAAATTATATTTTTAATCAAATTCTAAATTCACTTTCAATCATACATACTGACATTACATGGACCAATGGCAAGACAAAAACCCATTGTTTATGAGATCCTTCAAGAAAAGTTTGCCCCTTCCCTGTCACTTCTTTTCTCTGTTCCACAGTGGGTCCTCTACAGAGTGCAGTCCCTTCAGAACATCTGCATGCAACTGCTCCTAATCCTCTGCCCTGGGCATTGACTGTTTCTCACTTTTGTTTTGTTCCTTTCCCTGCACTTTTGCCCCTTCTCAAATTCACAGAGGCATACCCTATTTGGCTGGCTGGCTCAGCTTTAGCCTAACTGTAAATTTTGTTGCCAATGCAGGTAAAGTGAGCCCTTGCCCTGGTTCCACAAAGGCTCAGTGCTACCCAAGCCAAAGTATTTGCACAAGTAAAGTTAAACAAAGGTTAATGCTTGAAATACCTGCTGGTCAACTTCAACCATGTGTGACTGAAGGGAATTGGAATTTAAGAACTGTGGAAGCCTGAGAAAMAAGAGATATTAAATCCAACATAAAYAGAAAAGAAAAACATAATTTATAAATACCACCAGCATTTCCAAATGTCATAATGCAATTCACTCAAAGTATTTTTGATGTATTACCTATGCCAATGAGGAAAACCCTCAATGCAAAAGGAGAAGTCAAAAATCACCACTTTGAAAACAAAATTCAGTGAAAATAATCCTAGAGAACCTTTTTCACTGGTAATTCACGGGTAGATTACCTAACTTAAAAAAAACCAAAAAAACAACAGACTGGACCACAGTAAAAAGATTTCTCAAAAATTCAAAACGTGAAGCAATTGATCTTTACATCAGTTAGAAACAAAAAACAAATACTCCTGGAGTTCACTACATATGCATTAACTGACATGCAGCACAGGATAAGTGTTGCACAAATCCACCCAGTCATATTCCATTTAGTCTGAAAACTTGATAAAACACACAAACAAAATAAAGCAAGTTAACATATTTAGTGTGCAGGAAAAATAGCTCCCCACAACGCTCCTGTTTTCAAACTACTATTTAGAAAGAACTGGTGGTTTTCTGGTCTGCGTAACAATTAGCAGCTTCAAAGTCCCTCCTCGCCTATAAAAGCACGTGTCTGCCCCTTCACTGACTCTCCACCCTTTAGAGGCCTCAGAACAGTTAYTGGAAACACATTACAGCTCCCAATTACCTGACTACAGGATCATTCCAAATGTTTAACATACTGCACCATACCTGTCTGTTTGAACTGCTTTATCTTCCATCAAAGGCAAACGTGGCACTGTGTTGACCTCCTGGAAAGAAAACACGTCTTAAGCACTAAAATACTGTTCAAAAGCAGTATTTGAAATAAAAAGTTCAAAGTGGTTTCCTTATCCAACTGTAGGATTCTCCAAATATTCTGCAGTGTTCTTTTACAAATTTTAMGTTATTCTGACTAAGGCAAGAATTKTGATGAAACGAACATCAGCACACTGTCTGAGAATAACAAGCTGGATGACTAYGGCATTCCTAATCTGGCCTATGTATGTTTACTTTAGTTTGTATTTTACAATTTAATATAAAATATATGACTTACWGGCAAAGTATTGTCATTTAGAACTGGGCTAGAACTCTGGGATTTCTTCTCAACAACAGAATTAAAACCAGCAAGACCTAAAAAGGTAAACAAAATGGAGATACCCATTTCTGATCATCTTAACAAACAAAACGCCAGGGATGGACACCACGTGTCCCCACCACTGGGATCCAAACCAAGACAGAACATTCACATTCCACACATCCAAAAAAAGACACAAAGTGCTGCATGTACGACTGTCTTCCACACCCCTGGGTCCCACCTGGCTCAGGATGTGGTGACACTTTCTCCCCAAATGGCAGTTTCGGCCTGGCAACAAATGTGGGACCAACGAACTCCACTGGAACACACTCAGCATTTAGTGACACATCATCATCAAAATCATCTGGAGAACTCCCTGCACTGMCTTCAGCTTCTTTATAATGAGCAAAGTGCTTTGCAACCAGATCATCATTAACACAGATCTATTAAAAAAACCCAAACAAGCTCTTTATTGACCAATGTCAACAAGCAATAAGCTGCACCACTAACACATACTTGCTTAGAATTTATATGAAGCTTTAAACAAAAACAGTGATTTTATCATGATAAACAGAATAAAATCCAAACAAAAAACCCCAACCAAACAAAAACCCAGACATACAAAGTACCAGTAAATGCTTTCTATAGAATATTAATTCCAAGAAAAGGAAAATTAATCCTATCTTCCTGTATGTTCTTTCAACAGGTGYTTATTAGYWGGTTTTATGTTTCTGGCCAAAATTSTGTACCRAATTAACTGTTTCTATGAGCCCTACAGATTTAAAGGAAACCTCTAATTCAGTCAAAGCTGTTTATTTCTTGTGGATTCAGAATGCATCAAGAACTGACAGAAAAAAAGTAATATTAGGCCTAATACTCCTTATATCTACCATACAGCTTCTAAAGTCTACAGTAGCTACAGCAAAGCTTTGGCACAAGTCAGATGCTTTGGCAACAGAAACTAGATTGGATTTCTTTTTTCAACAACCTGAGGATTCAGCTGTATGCAAGAGTGTGAACTTTTACTTATTTTTACAGTATTATGCAACTGCCTTACTGAAACATCTACAAATGTGCTACCACAAGAAGTGCACCAAATAATTCACACAGTTGTCCACTTAAGTACTGGCTAGACTTCACTTGCTTGTTGATCCATTTTTTTAGAAAAAAGCTTCATATAGAGAAAAATACAAGTTCTGCCTCTTGGAATTTCTCTAGAGGTTTACAGTGAACAGAACTGTACTAAGAACTTCTARTAAGTTAATGGTTTCACTTCTACTCTATCTGATTGAAACTACAAGAACCACAAGTCATGCTTTCCAGTCTTAAACAATTAGCAAAATACATCAACAAGGCTGGAAATATAGAAGAATCTTACCTTTTCATCTCTCACAGTCACAAAAAGGAACACCTCTAACACTTTATCCTTTACTACCTGTATTGTGGCTTTAACCTCGGTAGCGTCTAAATGTAATAAAAACAAGAAAAAAGATTAAACCCTTATCACACTAGCGATATTCTTCACTTGGTCTGAGACAGACAAAAACAGAAATCACAATTAAAAACATGTAATGCTTGTTATTTCACATAAATGAAAAAAGAAATTTAACATTAAAAACTTAAAAGCTCCTAAAAGGAACTTGTCCTTAGCCTCTGAAAAAGGATTGAGAGGGAAACAGATTGATAACCTCTCAGGATTAACAACTCTTAGCTGTACACCTAAAGTCTTAGTTTTAYCTCTTAGATTCTGACAGTCTGGAGCACCAATGTGTGCTTTCCAAACATGACATTTACTTCTCATGAAAGAAGTTGCATTTGCTCATCTGTACAGCTTTGTTACACTTTTCATTCAGGCAATCACAGCCTCTGACAAAAATCTGTTCCCAGATCCTGAAGGACCTCTGTATACACCAATGCAGCACAGCTGTGATGCTTACTCAGCCTCCCTGTGAAATACACAGAAAGGTTCCAATGCTCAAAACAAAGGTGACATGAACGATGCCACAGTTATGTCTGACAGTCAGACACAATTTAGTTAACACCAAAATTCATGCAAGGAAACCCAGAGTACTCAAAATGCCGCTCCACAAATATTTGTGCCTGAAGTCACTCCATACTTATACCGCTCCTTTCTCCTTAAACAGCATTTGTTAATACAATCAAGTATACACAAATATAAAAAAAACTTGTACACAAATACTACATTTCTATAATTGATTTTTCCCAAAAGTGGAAGGTTATTTACCTTCAACAAGTTTTCTAAAATGCTGGAYGGCAGCAGTATCCCATCTTTTGGCTGGTCTAAGGCAATAAACACAACCAGTTTTCCCACATCAATAAACATGAAAATGGTAATTCCAAAAAAAATAATTTCTGTACAAGCATAAAGCTCTAAGCCATGTAAATTCTTACAAAGTGCACARCTAGACAAAACAGCAGAATCTGACTACTTAGCACATTACTTCARTCTTGGTAATATTGTTTCAGCTCAGCAACAACATGAACTGATCAAAATGAAGACACTTGTTTTTCAAGGTATTGTAGCTTGCATCCAATATAAAATATGAAGCAATCATGTAAGGTTGAAGAATCATTTAGGTTGAAAAAAAAAAACAACAAAGATCACCGACTAACTCAGCAGTGCCAAGGCCACACTAAACCTGGCCCTTAGTGCCACATCTACACGTCTTTTAAATCCCTGGAGGGATGGTGATTCGACGACTTCCCTGGGGAGCTGTGAGCTCTCAGCTGAAAGTTAGTTTTCCTCATAGTAACTGGTACAATTCTGTGTTCTGATTTTACTATGAGAATACTGCAGGCTTCTTCTTGAAATATAATCCCTTCTAAAAAAATCTGCACTAAAACCTCATGCCTCAGAAATGCACGAATGTATTTATTAAATTCTTCTTACCCTATTTTGGCAGTGTTTTCACAGAAGTCGATGTGCAATGTCAGTGGCTTTGTGCAGTACAGGCAACACTTCTTTGCTCTATCCGGGATCTTAGCAAATGCTTTTGCTAAAACTCGAATGCTGCAAAACAAAGTGGAAATCACCTCATTTTACAAGGCAGAACTTTTTCTCCAGAAGTCACTAGTCTCACAGACATCCTCTTGTTATCCTGTACTTGACAAGACAGTTCTTGCAGGAGTTTGGCTCCCAGCCTGGAACCACTGTCTTACTTTAAGAGAAATGCCATCAGGACCAACTAGTGAACATACTTGCTTTGGATACRAACACATAACCTATTTACCTGGAATCTTTCTGATTCTTTTTCCCCTTAAGTTTCAAGTCTTCTTGATATTTATCTGCCGAGTATCTTCATGACTGAACCACTGCCAAGTTGTTTTCCAACAAAGCAACAGTCAACTTAAAATTTATTTAACTTAAAATTTATTTTAGTACCTTTTAAGTAAGTTCTAATTTTGTGGAATACTACTGAAACCAATTTGGTGAAATTTCTTGTGCTCCAAGTTGCATATTTTAATAGAGAACCAAACTTTAAAACAAAGAGCTGGACTAGGCTGCTCCAGAATATGTAAGGTATTTTCAAGATTTTAGAAACAGAAGTTTTATACTATTTTTAATCAAAACCTCAGAATATGTGAAAACTTTTCTTGCACCATGACATGAAAACTGTAAGCTCTTAATAAACAAGTTGGTCAACTGCAGTGGGAAAACCCCTACATAATTTCTTTTCAKATGTCCAAAGCTGTTGCAGCAAGTGAAACCCTGCTTCTATATATGGCTTGTACCTGACCTTCACTGGACATAATTTTTAATTTCTTTARTACATAATCAATTAATAAGGGAGAAAAGAATGACAGTTTTAACTGGCAATCATGCATTTCAGTCACAACAAACTGACATTATTTCTATTTTGAATCTTTCAAAAAACAAAACCTAAAATGGAAAGCATCCTTAAAATATCACAAAATCAGGACTGGTTTGCACTTAGGCACCTTCAAATGTATCACCTCATTAGCAGCTTCTTGTGAACACAACCTACACCTCAATTAAACCAAAGCATTAACTAAATAAGATTCAATAGCACCTGTATCTATTAGCAAATTCATAATAGTGACAAAAAAACACCTACTTCTCTGATGCAACAGAATAGTATTTGGCATGATCCACAAGRAAACATCCAAGCTGGTAACCATCTCCACAGCACCGAACTGACTGCACAAGAGCCCTACACCAGCACCTGAGTTCCTCACTGAAAACCACATAAACCTAMGGAAGAAGCAAAGAACACGACAGCAGAATTTTTTAAATGGACCCAGTCAGACTCAAAGGTTTCTTTCAGAAGCAAGGACATAGTATWTATTACACAGGCTTCCATTTTCTTTGCAAAATGTAACCTTGCAGCTTACAGAYGAGAAAACACAACCCACAGAGATGCTATTATCTACTCAAATTTAAAAAATAAATTAATACATGTATTTGATACTTCACCCCTAAACCAATGCAAAGAATAGATTATTTGTGTGTAATGAGCTTACCTGGCCTTTTTCTATCTSCTCTGGTTTTATTTCATCTGAGTCTTTATAATTGTCATAGAACTGGTTCATTTCAGTGTTGAGGTTTTCATATGCTCTTTCATTGACTATACCTGGCGCGCATTCTTTCACCGCAATCCAAAAGCAACTTGGATCTTCGATCTGGGGCAAGGAATAGAGAACAAACACTACTGACTTGTAAGAGTATCTGAGCAGCAAAAACATAAAACATCTTTATGGGGCACCTTTGAAATTATGGTGACTGACACCAAGACACAGAATGCTAATTAAGTGAAACATCTTTCACCTTCACAGCACTAGCTCGTCAAATGGCTTCTCAGGTTCCCAATTCCTTCAGCACTGCAACGAACTCCRTGTGGAGTCTTACATGGGAGCAGCATTATCTAAAAAGTTGGTTAAACCAAACAGAGGGCTAATTGCAAAGACCAAGATTTTTACTTCCACTTGAAGTCCTCAGGAAATACATTAAAAAACCCCAAAACAGGGTAAGTCTCACCAAGAGGCTTTTCTTTGTGCTCAGTATCTGCATGACAGCCAGTTTCTTTTGAACAAGGTGACACCTTTCCAGTGTTCCAGCTGATCTGGGTCCCCAGCTGTTGTGGGTTAATCCCACCAGTCAACTAAACCCCACAGAGCTGCCCCCTCACTCACATACCTGCAGTGTGGATGATCAGAAGGATAAAGTGAGAAAACTCACAGGCTGATAAAGAAACAGCTGACAAGGCAAAGTAAGAGCTGCACATGCAAACAGAGCAACACAAGAAGTGTATTCACTGTTTCCCACAGGCAGCCAATTGCTCRGCCRTTTCCAAGAACACAGAGMTTCAYCACACACAAYRCTGATTTGGRAAGGCAAATCTGATAASCACAGACATACCTGCAAGCTTTTAYTGCTCAGCACGAGATYGTATGGTAKGGAATAWCCCCTAGGTCAGCTATCCTGGCTGTATKCTGCATTTTCCACAATCTCCTGTGAAATTCAGTATAATCTAGTACTATACTATGTGCTATTAGACGCTGCGTTGCACATGGTCCATTTTAGATTTTAGCTGCATCCCTACTTCTGGGAGGAAGGAGTCAGAAGTGGAAAAATGGTGGAGGATGAAACATCAGCTCATGTGGTCTTGCAGCTGGGAATGCCAAGGCCTGGAKAATATCAGAGCAGGAAACCCCATCTATAATGCCTGCTGCTGATTAYCCTGTTTCAAGAAGTAGAATTTCTSCACASAGRTAACACAAGTGTTTGGTGAAAYATGGAAGCACTCTCATGGACATGCTGAGGGAAAGATCAAAGCTCAGACATCATAAAAAGCACAGAAGAGCTCCCAAGGTCCTCAATGGATCCTGCTGGGATGGGATACAGCTGGTGCTGGTGTACACCTGGGTGCACCCTGGGATCCTCCAGTTAGCCAGGTAACTAAATACATTTACTCCCTACATTTCAGCCATGGTTTTGTGGTTGTTCTGGCTGCCTGCCTGTGTCARCTCACACAYCTACTCACCTATTTTACATGAAAACCAAGAAAATGAAACCTAAAATAAATGATAAAATATATATAACCCATATATGACCCCACACATGTAAAGAAGTGCTGGTGAATGGAAATACACAGGCATCATCTTGTTTGTAAATCTGACCTCCAGAAAGTCACRTGGAAATAAAACATCAATCCTTCAGATTAAAAAAAACCAGCAGCATACCTTTAATACCACGACCTCCATGTTTATCTCCCGCGTCTCCCTTCTCACTACTGCAAAAGAACAAACATTTGATGATGTGCTTTTAATGCCACCATTTTTTTCTGAAGCCTATTTGAAGAGCAGACACCTAAAGTAAGCCCATAGATTTTTACTACTCATGTCAGGAGTACTAGTGTAGGGAACTTGATTTACATGCTTCAAAGGGCTAAAGCCAGCTCCTCAATGAGGTTCTGTGTTAAAACTTAATTAAAATCTGTCATCCACGCTGCATCTTTTCCATCCAAATGCCAGCAAAAATAYGCTGATTGCAAACAAGGGCTGCTACAACCTACCAACATGACAAAATAGACAGAAATACCAGAAGACAATATTTACACCTTAAAAAAAAATAATCCTAATCTAAAAGAGAAATTCCAAACTTTGTGAACAATTTTAACGTCACAGGTTTTTACCAGTACTTCACAWTACATTTGCCTGCAATGGTACATACCAGAGCCGGAATTTACAACAGAAAAGTAAAACTTCCAGCAAGTAATTTGCATTTAATTTTGGCACAAACCAGCACATCGTGGTAGCATCACAGCAGTGTCTAGSTTACAATTTAAAGAATTCACACTGGAAGCAGGTGAAATGTTTCAGACAATCAAGACATTGGCCTTCTAGTTCCAAAGCTACTGCTGAACAAGCCAGCACTAAGCAACAACACAGCTTCACTACGGTGATAAGAGCAACAAGTTCTAAGAGACAGCATTGATTATTTCTAATTTAGCATTACAACGGGACAGCTGAAACGAGTGCAGTTTTACCCAAGATCATTTAATTTAACACAACCAAAGCTCCCGAGATACACACACGTTTCTAACATTACACCATAAATATGCTGCAAAACGAGGTACCTTAGACACTTAAAATGACCTTTTGTTTCAGCAGTCCCACTGTGAGGGGCATAAATAACTTCAGTCGACGTCTCAGGTATATTAGTGCAAACCCACTAAATGGCCCATCAAAGTGGCAGGGATAAAGCACACCCATAGAAAAGGCCGGCTCTCCCAATGCATTCTAAGTCACATTCCCGCTTTGTTAAGAACTAAAAACAGTTTGTTTGCTCCAATCACACACCCACCACTCAACAGAATTTAACATGTAAAAAAAAAAAAAAAATCACTAAATCCCTCGCTCCAACCTGCTGCCTCAACACAGACCTACAGWAGGTAGGATCCTCTGAAGCTATCCCGGTGTGTGCAAACAGAATTCACCCTTGAAAACAGAATTCACCCCTAGAAAACAAAATCCACCCTCCCTCCGCCCAGCCGTGCTCCATCCGAGCCCTGCTCCCCGCGAGGCGCAGAGCGAGAGAAGCGCAGCGTGGGAATAAGGGCTTCAAACCCCATTTTTTTTCGCTTTATTCCCTCTCTCCTCGCCCCCGTCCCCACTTCGCCCCAGTCCTGCCGCAGTACCCCTCAGGAACAAGCCCACTGACCCGGTCTGCAGCGTTCCCAGGCTCCACACGCCGCGGAACCTTCCAGAAGGCGCTTCCAGAAATCTCCTTCWCCACCGCCCCCGACACCGCCCCGGGGCGGGTCCCGAGCCCTAATATCCCCTTCCCGGCCCCTCAGCGCCSTGTTGGGGCCAATCACACGGGAAAGTACTGTCCAGGCGGAAAAAAACCCACCTGAAACGGTGCAGGAATTCCCACGAAACACTGGTGAGTCCATCTGAGGGCTTTTGATGTATAAAATGGGAAACAGATTCAGTGGGAAAAAAATAAATGCCCTGATTACTGCAAACTGTGATAAATTGAGCTTTAATAGCCAATYAGACGTTAGAATCGAATTAACAATTTATTAATTAATTAATAAAGAAGCATTAAGGAAACATATTAGTTAAGCAACCACAGATCTGAGCGAGCTAAGCGAGTAGCCGGCTGCACTTAGGACACCAGCTAAGTGAGTCTCTCCTACTAACACCTAGGACACCGCGCAGCACGTAGTCTGAACTCCTTTTTTATACCTTCTCTAACGTGATGTTTCTAGAAGTTTTTAGAAACTGATTCGTCGGTGTTGTGTTGTTACTGAGGCCTTTTGTGATTGCTTTGACGACCGTTGGTAGGCGGAGTTACTGGRAGGCAAGAGTCTTCTCTGCACGTTCGCAGTTCCCTTCTCCCCCCTCAGATACATAGAAGTGTTACAAACTGAGCAAAATTGTGCTAGGGCTGTCAAACTGTTTTAATAAAATATGTAGCGATTTCATAAACCAACTTATCACACAAACAACTTGCAATCAAGAAAGTTCTGCTGGGACTCAAGGGAAATTATTACAATAAACCTTTAGGGTTTCTAATTTATTTGAGGCTTCAAGTCTCTAAGGCGGAGGCAATGGTGAGATAGTGGTAATTCTTTGGAAATATTGGTAGTTCTTAACGAATGCAGGGACAACAACCACAGGAAAAAAGAAAAAACAGTGGCAACACAAGTAAATGGACAACTGGAAAGAGTTGATAAAGATCAGCCTTTAAGGAAGTGATGAAATAACCCAGTGTAAGGACTTAGTCTAGAGCTTAGCTTGGCATGAAGACATAACCCTAACCAGACAGAGAATCCTCCCCTGACACAACAGGAGTGCCAGAACTGTGCATTTCCCCCTACTTCTCTAAGACACACTTGACATCACTCCTGCACTTATCCTGTGCCCATATTCCCATATTCACAGTCCTACTGTGCCCTGGGGAGAGCTAAATAATTTCTTTATCAAAAATATTTTCTCCTAACAACCACTTTCTATCACAAAAGTAACTGGTAGAACAATTGTAAGGGACAGAACAATAAAAAAATCTTTTGGGTATTTGAATTCATGATCTCAAGTGGTATGGTCCACACAAGTGAAGATCCTAGGAGAGTGAACTCGTTTAAGGAACTAGTGGATGAGAATTCCTGGAAACTGCCCTCAGRGATAAATGAGGAGAGAGCTGGTGGCTCTTTAAGGATCTTTTCCTTGAAGTACAAAAGAATTCTATTCTCGTGTAAGAAATCAGGCAAGGAGTGCAGGTAACCAGTGTAGCTGAGGAAGACCCTTCTGACCCGTCTGAAGGCATGGGCAGTGGAAGCAGGAATGTTTATTCATAGGCAAGAATATAAGRATGGTGCTTGCAGGTATAGGAATGGGATCAGGAGACCTATGGCACAGCTGGAGCTGAATGTGGCAAGGGATCTGGAAAAAAATAAGGGCTCCCAGAGGTATGTTGACTAGAAAAGGAAGATTTTAATAAGAGTACATCCCCCATCCTGCAATACATCAGTGATAGCCTACATGGAGAGGGCTGACATGGTTTCTTTGACATTTGACTTTTTTGCCTCCGTTTTTGCTGGCAGTCACACTTCCAGTAACTCTCAAGTCCTTGAACCTCAAGGTGGGGAAACAAAACTGAACATAGAGAAGTCCTTGGGACACGAGGAGATGCATCCCAGGGTTCTGAGGGAACTGGCAAGTGTGGGTCCTAAGCTTCTCTCCACTGTATTTGAAAAGTCACGGCAGCCAGGCACAGCCTTCAGTGACTGGAGAAATGGGAATGTCATAGCCAGTGAGAATATTCTGAAACAGCCAGAACAGAATATTCTGTTCYACTGCACAATACACAGGGTTCTGCTCCTCAAGGCCTGTGATCACCACAGGCACACAGATCTCAACAAGGACTGCACCAGTCTGGGCGCGTTCTCAGACAGAAGAGAAAGACGTGCTTTAAATTTTTTTTTAATCCAAATAAATGGTTCAAACCAATTTTATGAAATTGCTACAGAAGGTTTTAATTGAAACACAGAATAAAAGCTGGAACAAATCTTTCTGAACAACTTTACTGACTCACATAAAGTCACCATTCATTCTCCTTCCAGACAAAGAATTCACAAAAGTACTCCATTTATTGCACAAAAAAAAGATAAATCCAACCAAATATCCAAATGAAAAATCAAGCAGCAATCTTTCCTCTGAAGTTCTTAAATCTCAGATAATATATAGTAAAGTAATTAAGAAGCAAAATGTGGGMTATTAGAATATGGAAGTGGGTGTTTCAAGCAGGAATAGTATTCCCATAAATTGTTGATATCTTTTTGGAGTTAATAATTACAATTTTTTATTTTTTAAATTGTTTAAAACTTGAAAATAAAAAAAAATGACAAAAATAGTGCACTTAATTTCATAGATGACTTTGTTTAAATTAACTCACCTTTGAAATCTGAAGTTTTGAATAATTACCATTAGTAGAAAGAATTTAAATATATCAAATATAAAAATTAACTTTACAGTATTACTTTTTAAATTGCATTRTAGTTAATTTACATCTATATCTACAGCTATATACATATATTGCTTTTCCCCAAAATGAAAGCGAGAATAGACTAGGAGATGTCAACAAATATGGAATGGGAGATTTCACTCATTTCAAGACACACATTGCAGTTATCTAATGAGTAACTTTGGGAAGCATAGAAAAAGAATTCTTCAACTTAAAATATGCTTGTTTTGAACATAAGATATACTCAAATTTTCAGTCAGAAGAGGATCTTTGTGACCCAACAGTGGCACAATTGTTCTATTTTTAAAGAGYCAAATAATTAGATACACATAGATATGGCATCACACACACAGACAATATGCTTTGGCAGGACAGAGGAGTATTTTCATGGCTATTTGGCAACAGTTAAAAAGCACCAATACCACAGTTGAGTATATATGTAATTAAAAATATTCCTAGATTTAAACCAAAGACATTATAATCTGCTATTATCTGAATTATCACACTTTATCATCAGTGGATTTATATGGTTATATTTTGCTTGAATRTTAACATAGACAGCAAGATTGTTGATGTTTTTTATTACTATCCTGTGAAATATACCACCCTCTTTCATGASATCTTCAATCTTCTTATCTGTTGACAGATTCATTTTCTTTTCTCCTGTATAATCTGGATCTTCTGGATATAATTCATCTCCTGGGGGTGGAAAAAAAAATTAGTTATAGATTGCCAACCTTACTATTCAGCTTTTCCATTGAATGACACTGGCAATYTTTCAGGATTAATCACATCATTTAAATCAGTGGAAATGGATTTCACAATGCGAAAGTAAATTGCCTCTAAACATCTTCAGATTTAAAGATACAGCCATAAATTTCTGAAGTATGCCAGTGGCATTGCAGCTCATGTTGAATGTTCCAGAGCTCCTGATAGTATGCTATTAATAAGCTGTCATCACAGCCTGGGCAGATAGGAGTGCATGCAATAGGTGGAGAACAGGACAAACACTTTTCAAGTGTACAGAGATAGGACAAAGAATAGAAATTTATGTTGTTCTACTTTGTTGAAGAAAATGAATGTTTTGCCATGTCAAGGCATAATACTCTTGTGCAAGACTGCTAATATACCCCAAATCCAGAAATCCTTGAGGTCAATTGTGACCCAAAAAAAAAAGCGAAAGCATAATGAAAATCAAACTAAAAAAAAACACAAAATAATAACTAGAACATGCAGCTTTTCTTGACACTGCATGTACATGACTTTGAAATGCGACTAAATAGGAGAAAGGGCAGGAGGAAGATGCCAGGGTATGGTTTTAGTCAAGTGCCTTATCACTGCAGCTGTGACGTCTGATACTGCAGCTGTGCTTGATCCCCTTGTCCTTTCAAAYGGGTAACTGAAGGAGAACTCCCACTGAAAAGGACTAAACAGGAGGAGTTCTAATACATTTTTCAAGTTACACAATGCTGAAGTGCTGGAATTTCTTCACAAATGCACAACTAGGACAAGAGTGAGACAATGAGATCAGGAGTAACCAAGAAGTTACTGTGCCATATGATCCCTGGCTCRTCTCTGACAGCAGCCACTGTCACAACTGCAGCAGACAAGATAAAAACAGCATGCAGTAACTTGATTTAGAAAATTATTTTCCTTACAGTTATGGATGGTTCATGTCACRTGGCTTCAGCACACAGCATTCAGGAGATGCTGGATATTTAGGAGAACTCTCCAGTGTGTCCTTACCCGGCAGCAGCTGGATGAAACCATCTGGAGCACTCAGCGTCACYGGCATCCAGCGCTCACAGCCCTCCAGAGCGCGCGCGGAGCTGAACTTCTGTAACTCCCGCAGGGAAGAGAAGTTGCACAGCCTACAGAATTCATAAAACTGGGGTGGAGGAAACCAGATCTCTTGAGACTTAAGCCGTTCAATGGCTTCTGGAGGTGATGACCACTGGAAGATGAAAACAAGCCTTGAAATAATATTTCAGCAGCAGAAAAGAAGTCCAAGTAAACTGAAAAGTCATTTAGCAAGGAGGTCTATACAGCAAAAGAGCTTGCAACAGGCCATACTTCTGAACACAAAAAACCTATGTATAAACAAGACACAACAAAGATATTCCTAAAATTGAAAAACATAAGCAATCTATAAAAGTTACTCCTTTTTCCCCAGTAAAAATAAGTTTTTATTTTACACACAGACATGACAGGGTTAGAAACTGACATTTGTTTTAGGGGCCTGACTAAAAGTTTACTGAARCCAACAGAAAATATTAAACTCGGTATTACCAGAGGTTGTTACTGATACTTTGAGAATTACAAGTACCTCTAAATATGCGTTTTGTAGAAGTATTGTTTTCAAAGCATGAACACCCAGCTATTCATGCTTATTCTGCATGTTCAAGAAAATGGTAATCTTGATTTCACCTCATATGGTAAATTTAATAATATAAATAGGTGTATAAACACTCCCAGTAGAATTATGCTATTGCTAACAAAATTWCAACATGAACCCTTTTGAAGATAAGGTTTCAGATACTTTTAAATTTCTATAGCAAAATCTGTTAAACAGACAAATATAGCAACATCAGTAATACCAAAATMATTAGCTAAGCTTTTACAGACAGAACTGTCTGGTTTCTCATCTACTTCTAACTTGCTATCGAACTTTTTAGAATTCTAAAAAAACATAAGGACCCTAATGTAGCTGACCTTGAGCTCTCTTAGAGCTTCATCAAGTTTACTTTTAYGCATTCAAAAAAAAAAGCAGGTTAAAAAAATCAAAGTGTGAAAAATTTTAATGGACTATTTCAATAAGTTTGTTTATTACTTAAAATATTTCAAGTAACTCGAAAAGATAAAAGTTACTAGCATCTCTTGCAGTCCTGGAATATACCTGTACATAGCACATGGATCTCTCCCTGCATACTGWGTGCTAAGGGCAGGTGACAACCCTCCACTATGTTGCACGAACAAACACATAAAAACCGGAATTTGTCATCTGCCTTTGAGAGAGACAGTAATTTAAGGTGAAAGGGATATGATGGGACACGGATCACGTAAAAAGACCTCACAAAACCCCTCTCCCGCCAGCTGCTGCAGCTGCATCTCTGGTGTTGGTGGCAGATCCAGGTGTGCAGGGCAGAGGGGAACCGTGCAGATGAACACTCCCTTCCCTTTCCTCACGTCTTAGGGAGCTTTTCCAGGGGTGGGCACTGGTTAGTCTGGAGGAGTTTATGTGGAGAGCTCACAGCATCTCCCAGTATCTGAAGGGACTGCAGGGAAGCTGGGGAGGGASTCTGTCAGGAACTGTAGTGACAGGACAAGGAGTAACGGGTACAAATTGAAGCACGGGACATTTAGCGTAGATATTAGAAGGCAGTTTTTTACTGTGAGGGAGAGAAAGCCCGGGCACGGGGTGCCCAATGAAGCTGTGTCAGCCTCTGGATTCCTGGAAGTGTTCAAGGGCAGGCTGGACTGGGCTTGGAGCAACCTGGGAKAGTGGAAGGTGTCCTTGCCCATGGCGGGGGTGGAATAAGGTGATCTTTAAGGTCTATTCCAACCCAAAGGATTGTATGATTCTATGTCTGTTCGATGTGTAAGGGCACAGCCTCRGCRGTGTGCCGSAGRCAGGGGCCGTGGGAGCAGAGCTCGRGCAGGAACRCCCGCTCCCATCGCAACACYCGCCCGGCCGGGYTGTGCTGCATCCAGGCACCCAGCCGCTCTTACCAGGACGGCTGTCACCTCCTGGTCGTCCTGCGAGACGTAGGGCGGCCGCTCCTCCAGGCAGCACAGGTAGAAAGCCGTGTCATAGCGGCGGCCGCCGGGCCCGGCCCTGCTGACGGGAGTCAGCCAGTTGCTCCACTCGTGCAGCGCCCAGATGTTGGGCGCGCAGCCCAGGTGGCGGCACAGCCGCAGGAAGCAGGACGGGTCCTCCCGCACCCGGCGCCGCCACTCCTCSAGCTCGGCGGCGGGCGGCAGGCTCTCAGCCGGCAGCGGCGGGGCCGGCCCGCGCCCCGGCACCAGCAGCAGGATCCCCGCCTCCTCGAAGGTCTCCCTGAGAGCGCAGATGCGGAAAGCGACTTCCCCCGGCAGCGSCGAGCCCAGGCTCTCCCGGTCGGTGGTGAAGAGCGGGGCGCGGCTGCCGCCGGGCGGCGGCGGCTTCACGGCGCCCAGCCCGCAGTAGGGCGAGGCGGGCAGCAGCCCCAGCCACTCGGCGGAGAAATCCGCCGGCTCCGCCAGCCCGCCCGGGAACACGTGGGCGCCGGGCATGAAGCCGCTGCGGGAGGTGCGGCGCAGCAGCAGCAGCTCATAGTCGAAGGGGCCGAGCGGGGAGCGCGGCGGCCGGCCCGGAGTGCCCGCCGCCAGCAGCAGCGTGGCCGCCTCCCGCCAGTGCCGCAGCCGCGCGTTCATCTTGGCGAGGCGGAGGCGCTGGAGCGGCCGGGCGGCACCGCCGCCTGCGCCCCCGGAGGAGCCACTGCAGCCGCGGGGCGGGCCGGGCCGGGCCGGGGGAGGGCCGCAGGAGGCGGGCCGGSAGCCGGGATGCCTCAGCCCCCACCAGCCCTAAGCCGGTAAGTAGCGGGTGTCCTCAGAGGGCGAAAGCTTAAGTAAATACACAGGGTTTAAGGCAGCGATGGCCGGCAGAAACGAGGCGATGGCTTTAAGTGGYTTGGGAAGCTGTGGCCTGGGGTCGCTCGCGCTTCCCGAGGTTTCACAACACCGAGTATATTTGCCACAAGGTGTGTAAATGTCGAGGAGCTTCCTTTGAGCCCAGAATCTTCCTGAGCACACGTGAAGGGTCTGTGGTTACAGCCCYGGGAGTCAGCACGGGGTCAGGAGCCAAGGACTCGGATTTGTAATCGTAATACTGCTGCTGACCCGCCAGCTGGCCTCACAAAAATCTCCTTATCTCAATTCCATAGCAAGCCATGCTGACGGCAAAAGTCATTTTGGGTYTGTAGTTAAACGTGACGTTTGCCAAGTTGTTTGAATTTGTTCTAGTACACTTCAAAGGGGAAGAGTAGGAAGAGTTTTAGTTAATTATTATAGAGCTCTTACATTTTGAGGTTTTTAAGTGCCTTGTTACCTGAAAAAAATAGATTCAGCAAAGGTAGCAAAACCTTGAAAATGTTCTTTGAACGTTTAGGAAACATTTTATTTCATTAATTGACTTTGATCCCTCAGTTTTCTTTAATTTGTAAGAAATTTAAGCAGAAAAAAGCTGATGACACAGGTTGAGAAGTTTTGTAAGAATGTTTGCATGTAACATGGAAAATCCTTCTCCTATCTATAATCCTCCTCTTGCCAGATTGTGTTTGGCAAATACCCACATACCTGTACATGCATCTGACAGCCTCTCAATTTGATTTTATGTTTGAGCTTGTACTTGATGCCTGTGAGATGCGTGTCACTGGAACTGAATGAAGTTTGGAAGCAAGTGAACCATTGGGTGCTGGAACAATGGACAAATTGACAAACCCAAAAATGACCTTGAGGTGTGCCCAGACACAGCTGGGCCATAAGCTCACCCTGGTGCCAGGCTGCAGTGGGCWGRGCAGGTCAGCCAARCCAGCTGATGCTGTTGAAAGRAATGACCAGACAATAGACAAGCCTGCCTCCCTTTGCTTCCCTTGTTTATCACCGAATATACAAGCAAAACCCATGACATCTTGTACCCTGAGCTGCTCTTTTTCACATTGATTTAATCCTTTTTGCTCATCAGTAATTACCACCTTAGCCAGTGGAAGCACAAAGCCATTTGTGCTGTTGTCTACTAGAAGGCACTTTGAACCTAAAATCACGACATTCACCTTGGTATTTGTTTGCCTTTTGTGGAATGTGCTTTGTGTAGTTAACTATTTTACTGTGTTAAATATACATCTTGTTAGGACGTGCTTTGCCTGAAAGCTGCTTTACTGGTGAAATATTAATAAACTGCTGAGGTTTTTAAAGATTTAACATCCAATGAGCTTGAAGGCTGATCAAAAAGATTTAGGGTCCATTATGTCAGATCATTTCAGCATAAAGGCATTTTAAGTAGAAAGTACTCGTGTACCAGTAATGAATGGTGTCACTTTCAAATCAGATATAATACCAGCACATGTACAAAACTATCTTACTATGGCAAAAATGCAGTGTATGATAGCCCTGGAACATTGTTTCAGAACATACCTAGGAAAATCTGATACTAGAGAATAGCAATGATTATATTGTTACCTTGAGTTTCTGAATGAATTGTTYGTTTGGGGTTTTTTATCTAAGACAGTCTAAAGTCTCTTAAGGGCTAGTATGTAAAGCAGGGTTACCAGGCCTTGGACATTTCTAGGGAAGGGGCAACCAGATTCTGTGGGCAACCTGTGCCAGTGCCTCAACACCCTCAGAAGGAACAATTTCTACCTAATATCTTATCTGAACCTGCTCTGTCAGTTTGAAGCCAATCTCACTTGTCACCCCAGGCCTTTGGAAACRCTCTCCATATTTCTTGCAGATGTCCTTCAGGCACTAGAAGGCCACAATTAGGTCACCAATTCTCTCAGCCTTTCCTCCTAGCAGAGGTGCCTTATCCTTCTGACCTTGATGGGGTCCTCTGGTTCCATTGGCATCCGCTGGTATTGAYCCTCASGGGTCTGGTTCTGTAGGCATTCTCRCAKGGGAGTGCAAATGGGATGTGTGGCTGGCACAGTGCTGCAGCCTCAGACACATGAGAATGCCAGGGCTGAGGTTACAGCTCTGTTCAGGACTGAGCTCAGCATCCAGAGCAGTYCTTTGGGCCCAAAGACAGCCAAGTGCAAGCTAAAGCAAACTTTCTTCCCTACTCCAGTTGCTGCATTTTTCCACACAGTTCTGGGGTATATAAAGCCCCTGTTCTGCTTAAGAAGGTGCCATTCCTTATCTAAGAGTCAGCAGATCCACCCTACTGCTGGCAATTTTTTTTCCCTTCCTTTCAGTATTGTCTTAGGAAGAGTTATTCAGTATCCATTCATTACAAAGCTGAGGTCATCTCATTCCAGGAAATTCCAGGAGCGTGTGAGTCTTTAATTGACCCAATTGTTAGGACTGAAGGTGGCAGGAGATTTTGAAGATGAACGCTCAGAAACAGTGAGCAAAGATAAAGGATGCAAAGGGATGTTTTGCTCTCTCTCTTCCAGTTTCCTGCCAAGAAAGGCAAAAGATTGCCTCCTGCTATTTCAAATGGTATTTCAGCTACCTCCAGGTAATTTCAAAATTACATGCTAAAGCTTCTAGATTGTTTAGCTCATATAATATCAACAAATAGGCACACTTAATATAAAAAGTAAACTATATAGGTTTTCAAATATTGTTTCCAAATTGTGAATAAATGTCAAATCTGAGAAATGCAGGTTTGTGATTATAGCACCATTATGAAGATTGACTAAAAAGAAAAATTAAAAATTAAAAATCTAGCTAACTTCCTACAAAATGGTATTCCAACAAATTAGGCAGATGAGAAAACTAGGTTACAGATAGTATTAACAACTGGAACTGTCCTACTTCCAAAAAACAGATAATGGATTACATGCTTTATGGAAATAGAAGTTATGGTTCTAATTCTGCAGCTTTTAATGACATGAATAGTTTTCACACATGTAATTTCTTGCCAGACTGAGTAGTGATGGCTTGTATGAGGAATCATTTGGAGTACTCACTCCAGGACCCAGAATTCAAATGTGTRTATCTCTAGTTACACCTGCAATTAGCATATTAGATTAAGTTGCCAAAGAAGTATCATGTTTGCAGTCTCTAGTAGTCCTCAGTCATTTTATACGGTATAAATAGTTAAGTATTTTCTTCTTTTTTTTTTTTTTAATTTTCCCCTTTCTTACTTCTTTTCCCCCAAGGGTTATGCCATTTGTGTATAGATTCTTCCGGATTATACAAAGGAATTGCATTTAAATGTTTTTTTCCTCAAGACAAAGAGAGATGACTGTAAGATATGAGGTATACTATTATTTCAAAAAAACCCGTGAATTTTAAAGTCCATTTTTTGGCTGTGTAGTTTCTTAGTGCTGTGGCACATTGAGTTCAGCTGTGTGTGTTATTTGAACATTTGTGTGCTAGAGACAGACTTGACTGATCAGAGACTCCAGTGATAATTTCATGCACAGTGGAARTGATCAAAATAACAGACCACGTTTATACCAAAACTGTGACTTCCATTTCTGTGCAGTTGAATTATAACTAGCTTTGAGAGGATTTGTTTAATTTGGTGGAGATGTTATTATAAAGTATATACGATAAATAATGCAGTGTGAATAAAAGAAAACATACAATTCAATCSAAGAGAACAACACAAAAACCCACCTGACCCTGTGAAGGGTTGAGAATTCGATTTCCGTCACTCTGGTAAATCACAGCAGATATTCTGACAAATGACTGGAACTGAACAATAAACATMATTGCATTTGTAAGTGGCCCTCTGTGGGTGACAGTTTCAGAGATGCTGTGATTGGATTTGTGTTTGCCTACATGGTTTCCAGTCACATTGCTTCCAGCATGAAACGCYCGTGCTGGGCTGGCTGAGAGGATCCACCAGAGCCCCAGTGCTGCTTAAATGCCATGTGACTTTTCACCTTCCCACAGGTTTCAGCAGCTGCTAAAGCTACATCCCAGCTGCACCCAGTACCACAGCAACAAGCTGTGAGAATRGATGATGGAATCCAGCCATGTGGGACTGCCTTCTTCCAGAASGAAGTCCCTTACAGTGTGAAACCCAGGGAGAAAAGGGTTTTCATTTGTAAAATGGATAACAACATGTAGCAAATCAAAATATTTTTACTCTTATTCTGTATGAGTCAATCAGAGAATGGAGAGTCAATTTCACTCAGGGATATTTTATATTGTCTGTCCTATTGGGCATAAGATACTCCTTTTTGATAGAGAAGCTGTAGATTAACATTGGGATGCTGTTGTATTTAACAAAAAGCAAACTTTGCTATTTACTACATACATCCATCTCCTRTCTGTTTTTTGTCCTTCCCTAAACACATGTAAATAATTTTATTTGAAAGACGTTCTTTTCTAATCCCACTTTTGTTGTACACTTACCATAGCAAATGCTGCTCACGTGTGAACTACTATTTTGTCCAGATCTCTTCCTGCATTAAAAGACTTACATAATCGTATTGAGAGAAAGCACTTAGAGATCTGTAATCCACTGGTCTTAGTGAATGACTTTTTACATAATGAAAATCTGTGAAGGGTAAATATGTTGACTASGAGTTCCATTAGCACTTAAATAGAAGGTATTTCTGGAAAGCATACATAAACAACACAAACCTCCTAGGGAAGGAAACGCAAGCCTGTAACCAATCCTCTCCACAAACAATAGGCACATGTTTAATTTTTAATTTGAAAGCTAATTACATCAGTCATTTAGTTCAGTTTTAAACAATTCCATGAGTCAAAAATATTTTCATATTTGCATGAAGAATTTTGATACTAATTTTATGTTGTGTTCATAGTACTGAATTTTGATGTTAAATTGTTGGCAACATAAGGAGAATCTCTTTAATTATGGTCCTGTGTTCCTTTTGTTAGTAAACTAGAAAACAGTGTAATGGGTTTTTATGGTGATAGACTGGAAATCGTGGAATGAAATCACAAATTGCTGCGTTTACAGACTCAGTTCTGATGGTTTGATACAACTGTTGATCATTGTTGCTACCAACAGCACAGGACCAAATTTCACGCTCCTTAGGTCGTGTATATCTTTTGCTAAAGTAAATGCCAKTTTTGCTGGCTGAAAGGGACAGAGTTTGGATCTTAACAAGGAAAATCCAATCATTAGGCTGGTCTAGTGTATTCTGTGGTTTTCAGATTGTCCAAGGGTTCTGYAGTTAACACTGGACAAGCAGTGCTGTAGGCAGTGTCATCTGTTAGCCTAAATGTTATTGTAGCTGTTTCCTAAGGCAGGGATTTCCTGACTGCTCAGACTGCTGGTTCCCTGGCAGTATAAATTAAGATATATCTCTATTCAACTTTGGGAGCTTGAGAAGGCTGCGTTTATGTTAAGAAAACTAATGAGAGGGTTGAGCACATTACTTTTATTACTATGGTTGAAACAGGTACTTCAGCTTAGCAGAGCCTACTGACAAGCTATATTAATATTCCAGCTTTTCAAAGAATGGTCTGGGTTGGAAGTGACCTTAAAGATCTGTTTTCAASCCCTGCCATGGGCAGGGASACCTTCCACTATCCSAGGTTGCTCCAAGCACCATCCAGCCCAGCTTCGGTCACTTCCAGAGTTCCAGGRGCAGCCGCAGTTTCTCTGGACAACCTGTGCCAGGSCATCACYACCCTCACTGGGAACAATTCCTTCTCAGCATCTTATSTGAACCTCTGTCMGTTTGAAGTCATTCCCCCTTGTCCTGACACTCCCTGTTCTTTTTAAYAGTCTCTTTCCATCTTTCTTGCAGGCTCCCTTCTAAAGGCTACAATGAGGTCACCTCAAAGTTTRCCTTCTCCAGGCTGAACAATCCCAATTCTCCCAGCCTTTGCTCAGAGCAGAGGTGCTTTATCCCTCTGATCACCCCAGGACTCCCTCCGACAGGTTTTGTTTGGTTTCAATTACTGGTGCAAGAAAACCAGTAAGTTATAAGGAGGTACTTTATTTTAAGTTAAATAAATAGTGACAGTAACAGGCTTGCATTATTCCAAGTGTAGAAAATACCACCCACCCATGCACAGGCAAAACCAGTGTAATTCAAGTCAGGAGTAAGATTTTAGTATACAGCAAATTTAATGTGTGTATTCTGTGAATAAATACAAAATAACTGAAACAGATCAACACTGATATTAATCAATGACCATCTTCTTTTGTACTACAATTACATTCTCACCAGTCAGCATGAGACTGTGCTTTTTCATCATGCTGTTTCAATGTRGAGTATTTTGATGTATGAATTCCCATTTTTCACTTACAAAATAGCATTTCCAGTCTCCTTCCAGTTGCATTCCAGTAGGGGGAATTAAATGAAGACTGCAAATCTCTGTTTCTTAACTTAAAGGAAGCCTCAGTACTTTTGGGCACTGGTGGTTTCACTTTGTTTTGGTTTTGTGCAGTTGTGCCGAATTCTGTCACGTGGAACAAACAAGTGTAGGAGATGAATGGCAGGCACTTTATCCATGCAGACAGTGCCAATCCTCTGTTAGAATTCTATTTAATCTATTAATTTCAAATAGCCTAAACATAAGATGATATAGATTTTTAGSAACAGACCAATGATGAATTAATTTGCACCCAGTTTTGTCTTTAAGRTTTGAAAATTCTTTTTTCAAGGCCAGTCCTATAAATAGTAATTGTGTGCACATTCATAATAAAGCAAGACTTAAATACTTAAGAGATTTTATAAAGTCTTTGAATCCTATAGCAACATATCCAAATTTTAAAAAATGTAATGGAATGAAAATTTACAGTTTACCAACCCACTGAGGCTTGCTTTTGAAGATGACCTATTCTTAGAAATTCTTCTACACAACTAAGCATGGATAAACTGTTTATCTATGGTTAAGTGTGTGGAAGATACCAAGATAATGGTAATGAATGCTGTCAGTGTTACCATTTGCTTATCTACCAGAAAACAGACTTGCATTCATTACTTGGGGTTTGAGAATATGTGGTTAAACGGTCTGTTTTCACAAGGTATATGGAGTTTTCAGCAAGCACAGAATAGAGCCCAACTGCTTCTCCAACTTCCTGTGAACTGAGASTGCAGAGAGTGAAAATATCCACAGATCCTTAATGACAAGYGGWGGCAATCCAAATATATACCTTCTTYTGCAGGTTTTGCTATATTTTCCTTAAATATGCTTTACTCATTGTAATTGTGAAGGAGATAATCCAATTTAAATGAACACACAGCAATTATACCTTGTCTAGGCAGGCTGGARCTGTAGCACCGAGAAATACAGACCTGGCTTTGTTAGAAAGCTGTCAGAGATCTCTACAGACATAGATTAACCACATGTAAAACGTATCCTATGGAATGATTGAAATACAACAGAAAGGAATGTGGAGTTGTCTTGTAGCACTCTGAATTCCGAAGAGAATGGAGTTAGACTGGACCGCTGTGCTGAGCTCACATGATCCTTCAACATAAGCACGGTCTATAGCTTTGAAAATTCAGGCCTCCACTTACTAGTTTTTTCTCACCTACATGTTACCARATTCAAATACATTTTGCCCCCCCAATCCAGTTCTTTTAAGTTTTAAAGAATAAAGTGTTTGCTGCAGTTTTTTGAAGTATGTTATTTCTTATCTCACAAATATTAGGTGTTTATGCTTGTTGTCAGTTTTATTTAATAAGTGCAAAGACTTCACAAAACATGTCAGATTATTAGTTTTTGATAATGTGCCTGTAATAATCAATGAAGAAAAACAGCTTCTTAAACCCCCAATATTATGGGGTCTTTATATTTGGCTGTGGAATGCCCCATACACCTATGGCACTRTAGCACATGTACCAAGCATTCTTAAACGGACAGTGTGTGTTCACAGCACTACAAGGTATTTCCACAAGTAAATAAAAAATACCATAACACATAAATCCTTTTTCAAAATATTGTAAAGCTTCTCTGCTAAGTAAGTGTCTGTTCACGCACCTTTACATTTACATGTTGAAAATTCCACAGGGAAGCACTGGAAAGTTTTATGCTGTTGCATTTCCCTCCCAGAATTGTAGTGCTATCAAACGAGACCAATCTTACAGGCTTCCTGTTTCCCAGATGATTAATCAGACACGAAAGAGATACAAAACTGAAACACATTTTTAGCTTTGTCTGGATTTCTGCAATTTGGGAGCTTGCAGAAATGTGACAGTACACAAGCATGAGTCCCTGCCTGTCAACAGGAGAGGGAATCCCATTGGGATGGTCTGTTTTAACATAATTTTTGTTTGCTAAAATCTAATGTTACTGCATCTACTGTGGGTAGATTCATTGCTCCCGTTTTCATAGTTAATCATGAAGTGCAAACTGCTGCTACAGAAAGAAAAATTAGAACCAGTGGCAAGAATCAGTCTTTCTGCAAGGAAAGAGAAAATCAAGTAAATGTGAATGAGAATCATGAGGCTTACTAGTATTTTTCTGAATATGCAACTCTCTCTTTTTTCTCTCTGGATTTGGAAAGCGATTAGTCATTCACATATGCTGTGCCAATTCATGCAATTGGGTTCTGTACAATCCAGTCTACATCAACAAACAGTACTTCGTATCAAACATCATTCTGTTCTCCCCCCCCATCCATTAACTTATCTAAAATAGAGGTTGGTTACATTCTTTTAGTGGGGTTTTCATCTTACCCCTTTCCTCCACTCAAKAAATATCTTTTGTATTTGATGGAAAAAAAAGAAATACTCTATTCACTTGGTCATACAAAATACCCATGTTAACCTTTAAATTTATGTTACTCTCCAATACTGTAAACAGTGACGAGCAGCAAACACCAGAGCCTAGTGAAGAACAAAAACCACAGGCTTCTGAGAATAGTGATCTATTAATAGCAGGCAAATCCCTGTTACAGCCAGTAGTGATAATACCCTGATACTTCGGTTAACTGTTACAAGTCCAGCAAACCAAGACWTTTCTATTTTGCAGGCTCATTTGCATCCCTTTTCTTCAAAAAGCATGAAGAAACAAATAGTGTGTTTTAGGATATCGAGAGGCAGAAGTTTTGYTTTTTTCTTTCAAGTGCTTGTTTAAAATTCCCAGCTCATCCAAGTGACACATTTTGAAAGTAAAGGTGAGGCATGACACACTCCAGAGACAGGCTGGAGAGGGGTYGCTCGTGTCAGAGCTTGCACCACCCTAAGACAGTTTTACCACACATACTGCCAGGACAATGGCGATAATGAGCACAGCAGTGAAAATAATCCCAGCTAGAACCTTGCTGATATCGCAGAAGGATTTATTTTCCTCCACAGAGATCATGCCAATAGAAGAAGCGCCCACGCTGATGGTGGATTTCAGTTCAGCCCCTGGGTCTTGCTTAGCCTCTACTGTCCACTGGGGCACATTGACCTTCATCTCCATTTCGTACATCATCTCTCCTACCTGGTTGATCTCATTCTCGAGGTCTTTCAAATCCACCACGTCTATGTTGTGCTCAGCCTCGTATTTCATGTTCTGGACGCTCATGGCGCGGGCGGCCACGCCGGAGGTTCCCCCGCTCATGCCCGTCTGGATCAGGTGCTTTTTGGGGACGTTCAGCGGGAACTCGTGGCCCAGCTCCAGGGCTCTCCTCATGTCGATCTCCAGGATCTCTAGGCACGTGGAGAAAATCACCCATAGTCTCTCGAATTCGGCTTTATCTTCCTTACTCACGCTTTTGTCCTTCAGGACCGTGGTGAGCTTGTTCCTGTTGGCCACGGCCAGCTCCTGAGCTTTCTGCCGGGTCTTCTTGAGCTCCTCCCGCAGGTTCTGGGAGTCCGAGGTGCCGCCGATGGTCAGCACCATGTGCCGGTAGCAGGCGGTCACCTTGTTGAGCGCGTCCAGCAGCGCCTTGCACTCCTCCTTCACCATGGTGGCGGCGGGGGCCGTGCCCGGGGCCGCCCTGCCCGGTGCCGCCCCGACTTACCCGGTGCCGGGCCCCGGGCGCTGCCACAGCCGGTAGCTACCAGCACACATGGCAAGTGCTGCCTCCGGGTCGCGCCTGCATCCAGCACCCCTGTACCCGGCTGGTCAGGGGGCGCCGGCGCCTCCGCGAGCCCGGGCGGGCAGCGCGGAGCCCCGSCGGGCGGGCAGCATCGCTCCCCGCGCCACTGCCGTCTGCAGCGCCACCGGGGCGGCTTGCTCCGCGCCGCGATCCACGGGGCGCTGCTGTTTGAAAAGTGCCGAGCGCCGAGGATGGAGGAGAAAAAAATACGAAATCAAAAAAGCCAAGGCTAAAGCTCTGGGGAGCGGCAGCCGGGCAGCCGGCGCTGCCCGCCGCCGCCACTTAACTCGCCCCAGCTGGGCGCCCGCGCGGTCACATGGCGGGGAGCGCCCGGCCCGGCCCTATAAGCCCTCGCAGGCTCCGCCTCCGCAGGCAGTGATCCCGCGGCGCTCCCGGCTCCTCGCCCGCTCCCTCCCGCCGCTGCCCGGCCATTGGCTTCGTGCGGCCGCGCCGGGCCCGCCCTGGACCCCGGTAGGGCTCGGCCGGGGCGCGGAGCGGCGGGGGAGGCGGGCGGCGGCGGCCCCGAGGCCGGGCAGGAGGGAGGCGATGGTGTCGGTGTGAGTAGCGCTCCCGCCCCGGGCTGCCGCGGCACCCGCCGGGACCGTCCCTCCGGGAGGGAGCGGAGAGCGCTGCCGGCCCGCCGTGCCGTGCCCCGGGAGCCGCTCGGCCGCGGCCTGGGCGGTGCCGGGACCGTGCTGGCTCGGCCTTCGCCCGGGCCGGAGCGCGGCGGGGCCGGGCCGTGCGGACACATGGCCCCGGTCAGTGACCACCGCGGCAGCCTCGCTGCTCGCCCTGCTGAGCCCCGCCGTTCTCGGCAGGTCGCTCCTGCCCGGTCCCCGGGTGTCCCGTGTGGCGCAGACGCTCCGGGACCCGGCTGGGGAAGGAGCTCGCTGTTGTTGTCATCCGTAGGAAGGGGCGGCGTGCGAGTCGGGCTCCTGCACTTAACTCCAGTCAAGCAATTGTACACCAGGAAGTGCAGGAGGCACGCCAGCTCTGTGTCAGAAGGGATGCTTCACCCCCTGCCCTTGGCAGTGTGCTGGGGACAGCTCGGCGAGCACTGATGGGCACTAGGCCGTGCTCGTGTGTGCATCCAGAGGGATGGAGGAGATGTGGAGTGCCCTTGGTGAGCTGAGCTGTGTTGTCTCTGGCACCTGATGTGTCTGCTGAAGCGGCTTCTGGAGAGCTTGCTTGTCACAACATATGCTACCACATATGCCCTAGCGTTTGTGGGTAGCTGAGTGGTTTTGTGATGCTACAGTAGCTTGAAAAAGYTGTGAAGCCGCAAGAGTTCCTCAAGAAGGGGAGGATGGCCCATTCCCTTATCTTTCATGGCTGCCTTTGCAGGGCAATGTGTGTAATGAGCAAGATAATTTGCCATGAGGAACAGAGTCCAGGCAGACTGGCTTTCTGCTGCTGAACTCAGCCTGAGGAGTCCTGTCTAGACTATGTTCCTCCTTGTGGATTTTGCTAGCTTGGACTCCCCTGACTGTTCTTTTTGTTTCTTTATGTTTTGTCTTGCTTTAATTTTGGCCCTAGTTTCCAAAGCCTATGTAGCTGCTGCTGCAGGTTGCTACCTGTGGAAGAAGTGGCCTCTTAACTTTGTGTAGATTATCAAATTTCTACCAACTAAACTGATCAACCCTCTGTCAATTTGCATGTTGGTGGCCTAGAAGAAGCAAATCAGTCATGCTTGTTTCCTTGTAGGAATAAAGAAACATGGGATGATTTTGACCTGATTGTAAGTGAAGTCTTGTAATTGCTTAATCATTGTCAGGTGGAAAAAGGATTAGCTCTGGGTTTGAATCTGGAGTCCTRTGTGACATAAGTGTTAAGCTTATTCCTGACCAAATTATACGTGTTTGTGTGTCAGTTTTAGCTATGTTTAAAGTCTGCCACAGAAGACTGAATAKGTGATAGTCTGGAAGCCACTTCTCCTGAAGTGCCTGGGAGTGGGAGGGAGTATTGGTTCACATTGGAAACATGTGACTATATAAACCTGAAGGTAGCAGCAGTCATAATCTGTATCAGGTAATGCCTAAATACATCTTTAGGTGTATCATGTGGGAAGAGCCTGTTATTTAGATTCGTTCTAATTTAAGTTCAGCTGCATGCAGTTATACAATTTGCTTAGCTTGTGGGAGCTCTTAAATTTCAGTTGTAGTTTGTCAGGCAGGCACAATGTTCTGAAAATCAGAATGTTGATACTGCTCTCAAACAAGATGCTGACTARCCAAAATACTATCCTGGGAAAACTATTAGGATGGAGGTAAAAATCCTTAGAACTGACTTAAGAAGCAGCCTAATGAATAGTAGAAGAAATGTATTTCCTGGTTCTGTGGCAAGGCTTTCTTGCAATAGATGTTAATGACCTGTTTCTTCCTGTGCAGTACTCTTAAAACTGTTTGCACAGTATTCTGTGATGCATGTTGAACATCRCTAATTAAATGTTGCAGCCTCATTTTAATACTTTTTAAGTAGAATTTTAGGTAAATGCAAGTTTGTTTTGCTTAAAGATTGGTAAGCCTTGTCTGGCGGACTTGCTTTTGGAGTAGCCTCATTTGCTAAATTTTGGCTTTAGACTGCCATGGCTTAGGAGAGCTTGAAGCCATTATGAGGTGAAGAAGGAAAATATGGATGAAATACAGGCAAAATTAAATGTGACATTAACACCTTCCTTCCTCCTGATCACGGATAAACTATGTGTTTCTTTGAATTGTAATTTGCCTTCTGCTAAGATTTTTGCTTATAAAATAGTGAGAGGATTTGATCTGCAGCAAGAATTTTAATTTACATTGTCGTAATATGAGACTGATACTTCTGTATCATCATGTTTACTTTCAGGAAGCTGTCCATTAGCTTTGGCTGTTACATGTTGCATTGTGTAGCAATAAAACACCACTGGTGGTTAAGATAATTAATTTGTCTAGGTAGAGCTTACCTACTGAATTGTTTTCCAGCCTTCCTTACCCTTGTGCTGTTGCCTAAATGAATCAAAATATTTGGCTTCAGTAAACCTCTGTCTGTTTCTACTCCGTAAGAATTCTCCCCCTCCAAAGAAGGGGAATGAAGTAACGAAGTGCTGAACCCCTAAGAGCCTGAGGAGGAGGTGACCTTAAATACAGCTCTACTGTTTGAAGGAAGCATCCTTGTTTGAGAAGCTATTTTGAGAACTTTGTATTTTCTGTTAATGTTCTCCCTCTGAATGTTCCTTGTAACTGTTGGTGGTCCAGTGAACAGCACTTGCCCTTTGTTCTAGGGCTTGCTTTGAGTGCTCAGGGCTCCCCGTCAGAGAATTCAATGCAGCTTCAGCAGTGATAAGCCAAAGGATGAAACTTTGCAGCCACTCTGGTGGATTTCTCAGCCTGTGAGAATTTGGAATCTAGTTGCTATCCRATTGTGGAAAGGGGATGCAGCTTGTTCCTCATAGTTGTGTCTGGGGCAGGCCTGTCCAAGCAGGGCCACGGCGGTTGGCTTAGATAGAAAAGGCTTGGGGGGTGTTGAGTAGAGGCAAAACCCAAACATGAGATCCTGTGCCAGTTCTTAATTCTTCACTGGAAGAAATGTGTGCCTGGAAGGGAGATGCTGAGAGAAATGAGCATCTTCCTGGAATACTCATGACCTCTCCTTTCAAAACTGATGTCCTGAGATACTAAAACTTAGTTTTTCACKGGTTGTTAATAAGCCTTGAGCTGACTGATGTGAATTCACTGCTCTGTGATCTGATAATTCACARTCGTTACTCTGGCATGCTCAGTACAAGCTGAACCTGATTCTAAACCAGGCAGGAATAGATTTGTTTACTCCCTTGTGGTGAGCAAGGTGCACTGGAAATGTGTCAGSTGTTTTTCCTAGGATGCTCAATGCTCATCCTTTAGGATTTTTAAATGCTCAGAAACAGAAATGATYTTCTGTTTCTATTTTGAGGTGAATGCTGGTGTAGTACAAGTTCAGATTGTAATTTCTGTCCAGAGGCAGAGTATTTGAGGTGTAATGGTGCTGAAGTGTTAACTTGAATTTTTGGACTGAGGCTGTTTAAATTCCACTGTTAGATTCCTGTTTGCTTGTAAAGTGCTCTGAGATATGCCTACCTTTGGTTGTTCCTTCTAACAAGTGGTGCTCTAAAAGTGTGGAAGGGAAGCACTTCTGCTAGGAAAAAAATAAATTTAGAACTGAGGAACAAAGTTCCTCTTACATTTTTTTTGTGGAACTGTGCAGTTTGCTAGAATGATAAGACGTTTCTGATAAAGTTTGTATGTGTRTTTCTCTGCTGCTCTGAGATAAAAATCTTTCAGTTGAGTAATGAGTTCCTTCTCATTTACTCATTATTTTGAGCACTTCTGCAAATATCAAGTTACTGGTTTACTAAGCCTTAGTTATTTCTGTTGTAGATATTGTGAGCTAAGGTGAAGTTGATGTTATGTGAAACTTGACAATATTGGTAAAGTAAAATTGAGTGAATTTATGCTTCTTGCCATGCTAATGGACCTGGTGTTGAAGGTTTTGSAGAGCATGACATTCATTCTGCTTCCTTGAAACTGGGCTTGTGTGGAGAGGACACTGAGGTGCTTGATGGTAGTTTCCCAGTTTAACATCCTAACTTGCTTTCCTGGAGACATTTCAGGCTACTGAACTCGGCTAAAAATTTTTACTAACTTTGGGAGCTGTTTTTACTTTGTTCTGCTGAAGTATTATAAAAATGCTTTGGTGAAGACGCAGRATAGTACCCAGCCCAGCATTGACTATGTAGTGTTTCTATACACAATCACTCATTCTGTTATGAAAGGCATTTTCTCTGCAGTGTGTTTTGTTAAATCTTCAGTAGGATGTATCAGCATGTTCAGAAGGTGACATGCCTAGGGTTTGAGTAAATAATTGTACAAGTTGAATGTGGACATGAGGTAACTGCCAAGTAACAATGCAAATACAGTGACATCACCCACTTTTGTGGCTGTTTATCTAAATTTCAAAGTACTTCTTAAAAAGGAACAGAAATCTGCAAGCTCTGGAAAAGGTCCTTTGCTTATCAATCTCTAAAGGAAAAAAGCCATCAGTGACAAAATGAACTGTCAGAATTTATTCCTATTCACTGTTTTCAGTCCCAAAGGTAATTAGGCCTCATTTCCAGTGTTTGAAAGARAGCCATGACATGCTTAGATTCCATGTGTTTCACTTGAGCTGTCCTTTRTGTCATAGTTATATTATTAGAATTATCACTCTGTTTTTGATCTAGAAAGGATTTGTCTCTTGTAAGATTATGATTATGKTTTTTTTAAACTGTAACATAATGCTTATTAGATTGTCTGATCCAGCTAGCTTCTGTTCTT